ACACACACACACACACACACACACACACACACACACACACACACACACACATACACACCGGGAGAAACAGAAAGAGATAAACATAACAAAGAATAAGAGGGATAGGAGCAATGTTAAAGACGAAACGTGAAACAGAAACAAGGAGAGAAACAGGAGCAAAGAGAGGTAAACATGACGTAACCGGAAGAGAAACAAAAATAATGAAAACCTGCAGAAAGAAAAACAAAAGTAGTCAAAATCTGCAGACAGAAACAATGACAGATTGGGGAAGAGAAAAAGACAATGAGAGGCTACAGAAAGAGAAACAGGAACAATGAGAAGCTACAGAGAGAGATACAGTGACGGTGAGGGGCTGGAGAAAGAAACAAACAACCAAAGAGAGACTAAAGAAAGAAACACAGTTACGATGAGAGGCTACAGAAACTGAAACAATGAGAGACTACCAAAACAGAAACAGAAGCAACGAAAGGCAGTAGGAAGAGAAGCAGAGACAATGAGAAGCTACAGAAAGAGGAAGAAAGATATTGATAGGCTGGAAAACTTAAACAAAATGATCTATTCGGTTTGTTTCGTAAGTTTCAGAGCTTAATAAAGCAGAAGCCAAACGTCACGAGAGCATCTGTCAAAAGGTGGAAAATACCTGGGTGTAACAAACGATTGCTGCAAAATCAATTGTACCATAAGAAATAACTCTTTGCATATGTATATTCTTTTATGGTCTAATCTCTTCCAGGTTCAGTAAAAATCAAAGCTGTACGTATTTCATGCAACGGTCTTGGTGTTGCCCTAGCTTCTGTGAGGACAACCGGCGTCCGTAATGTAGCGGTTTGGCACATCATCGGAGTTCGATTCCCATGCGGAAAGAATTTTCCGGGAGGGTGTGTCCCCTTCAGTTTGGTTGGCCCTGACAGGCAGGGCCGAACCCACCTCCAGAATGATTTAACTTGTGTCTTTAAGGGCGTAGAACACCTAATTTATATGTGGTCGCTTTTAAGGACAAGCGGGCTAACCCAGACTCCGGGGGTTTCCAGAAATCTTGACCTACACCAAAAGTGGGCATTGCCCTACCAATAGGAGAAGTTTGATTTCATTTGTGAGTAATTTGTTAGGTTATAGAGAAAACTCTTCGTGTCTTTTAAATAAACTGAAGAAGGGGCAAAAACTTTACCTTCGATTTTCTCAAAACAGCATTATTCGGGATGCCCCCTTGTGTTTAAAAGCGACCATATATAAAAGTGAGGCCAATTATGAAAATTTCTTTTACAGCAATGATGACATAGATACATGAAATTAAGCACTTCTGTCAGACAAGCTCAGGTTTTTACTTTGAGACAAACGTTGCAAATCGTACCTGAACGCCCATGGTATCTCGCTTCCGTGAGCAAGGCGTGGCCTCCTGTCCGTGGGAGCCTGTGCCCGAGTTGGGCGACACAGAGCCGGGGTGTGGCCCGCCGCTGTCTAGTCCCATGGTTCGCTTGCCTTCCTCGCTGGCTGCGCGATGGGGCGGGGCTTCGCGGTGAGGAGGGGGAGGAGCTTCCGTAGGCACGCCCTTGTTGCAGCTGGGCAGCGGTGGCGGCGACGGCATGGGGCCCCGCGGGAGGCCCGGGGCATTCCCGCACCCAACGCACGAGGCGTCGAAGATTTTACACTCGTTATGGGTAGTGACCTTCGTGTTTGCGAATGGGCGGCACAGACAACACGATCATATGACGTCAGCACTAAAGGCTGAGATTACTTCCTTGTAGAATGAGGCGTCATGCGCTATGAAATGTCATGCTTGCCCCTCAGAAATAGCTATGTTATCAGAAACGTGGGTAATAAATGGCTTTTTCCGTTACTTGATTCCGCTCAGTCAGTATCGTAGAGTTCATTTCAGGTTACCAATACCCAGAATAGCCGCTGATTGCAGAGCAAAAATATCCAACCAAACACTATTAGATTCAGTAATATGTCAATGGGAAGGATTGCTTGCAAATTTGGAATTTACACACTCCGATTCCTGCTCTCATAAACAATCACAGAATTGACTATGATGACCTTCAAAGAACGAAACAAATTTCAGATTAATGTTGATCGAATTACACGTGATCCGTTTTAGATCCGTAGAAAAAGAGCGGGAGATTTCGTCATATGCTTTATAGCCTTGATGAATCTTCTCTGAATATAAAACCACTAGGTGTCGCTGCTTTCGATCCACCTTATTTTTCTTCTTCAAACCGCCGAATTTGATCTGAAAAGAGAAAGATGGGAAAACAATCAGAGACCACGTCATCAAAGTGTATAAACTGACAACGCTTCATTCAGAGACAAAACTGATAAATTAAACAGTTTACGTTTCCACACTAGCGCCACACAAACTAGAGTGTCTTCCCCGAGCGGGAAGCGAACACATTTCTTCCGTGTGCGAGATAAAACACCTACACACTACACCACCGGCCCTTCTTCTAGTCTAGACTGAACAACGATAATGTGATAAAGCCATACATGGCTGTCTTTGGAAAGAGAAACAGTTTATATATAATAAAACCATACACGATGTTAAGTCTTTGGAAAGAGAAGCAGTTATGCAAACAACACAAAATAAACCGTACTCTCAACTCATCGGCACTTACTGTCAAAACTAAAATAACGTATCGAAATAGCGAAATACATATACACCCCATCCCCCC